GAGAGAGAGAGAGAGAGAGAGAGAGAGAGAGAGAGAGAGAGAGCCTACTTGTTTTCTGTTCTTTAAGCCTGAAGAGAACACCATTACAGAAACAGGAGGAGAAGGCAGGAGCTGAGGCTGCCAGCAGCCAGCAGTCAGACCGATTTGTTGCCCTGCCTTCCTCCTTCCGTCTTCCCCTCTGCAGAGGCCAGGCTGTCTAACTTGATGCATTTAACGAGAACAGAGCAGTCTCACTGTGAGACCTACTCGTTGCTTTCCAGCTCCAAAAATCTCTATGGCTTCAAGGTGTGCGAACCCAAGAATTCTACCCCTAAGGATTTATCTAAACAAATAGCAAAGAAAAAAAAAAGGAAAACACATCCACATACAACCATAACAACAACAGGAAACCCATAGCTGCAAGATCTGTCATATCATAATCAAAACAACTGGAAGAGACCTAAATTTTCAAGAAAAGTTTATGAAGCAATGTCTGTAACTAAACGGGGTGTGGCAATCATGCTGACTTTGGATTAGCGCAGACTGGTGGACAGTGGCTATGACTGCCTGGCATTACTGCACCTGTATTCAGTGGGGTGGGGGGTGGGGGAGGGTTGGCTTGTCCTGGAGCCCATTGCCTGGTGCTTCACAGTCACCAGTGCCACATCTCTGGAAGGGTCTTTAGAACCCATTCCCACCGGATGTGGTAGCTTTGGGTTCCGTCCCCTAGCCCCGCCCCGCCTCCCATCGAACAGTGTGTAGTGCTGCTGTTTGGGCCGTTCGTTGCTCCACAGCAAACCATCCAAAGACTCAGTAGAGCCAAGAACAACAAGATTATGTTCACAGTTCTGGGTCAGGAAGTGGATCTGAGCACAGTGGGAATGGTCCCCAGCCTTTCCACGGTGACTGGCTGACTTCTGCCTGAATGCTGGAGGCATCCGAAGCCTCCCTGGGCACATAGCTGGTGCCTTGGCTCTTCTGTCAGTCATCCAGAGCCACCACATGTGGCTACTGTTTGAGGTTCGAGCTTCCTGGCAGCTCAGAAGCTGGTGTCCCAGGAGCAAGCAAACACTGGAGACCAAGGCAGAGGCTTCTTGCCTTTGAGTTGTTAACTGTGTGTTCACACCGGAGAAGCCACAAGCTCAGCCCAATTCTCAAAGTATTTGAAAGGTTGAATTTCGAGATTGATTAACAGTCTGAACATGGAGGCTAAAGGGATCACTCGCATGCCACCACTGCACTAGCACAGGCCAGGAAGAGAGCGAGAAGTATGAGGTATGGTACGTAGTAATTCAGATAAAGAGTTATCATGGGACGGCAAGATGGTATAGCAGATGAAAGAGCTTGCCACCAAACCTGGAAGCCTGAGTTCCATCCCTGGGACGCACAGGGTAAGAGAGAACTGGCTTCCTCACCTTGTCCTCTGATTCCCACAAGCACACCATGGCACATATATAGCCCCCCCCCCCCACACACACACATAAAAGAAATATAGTTTTTAAACCTGTTGTTAGGAGGAAGCAGCATACCATTTCTTCTTTTGTGTGACTTACTGGTCTTGGTGAGAATTACTCAACCCCAGCACTATCCACCTAAGCTTGTGCATTAGTGTAGTCACTGGAGATCATGGCTGCCCCAGGGAGACCAGTACAGAGCCCACTTCCTAAGCACCCAGGCAGCACCCATGCCACCTGTATTGTGGCTTCATGAACCACGGTGCTGCCAGTTCCTTAAAGACTGCTCACCTTGGGGCCACAGGGCCCCTAGATCATCAGGAGACAGTGAGAGGCCAGGTAGAGGCTTGTGTGTTTTCGAGCTATTGATCTGTCCCCTTTCCTTTCTCCTTAGGCCTTCGACATTATGAAAGTGACCCACGGCCGAGAGCACAGCCTGATTGAAGATCTAATTCTTCTCCTGGAAGAATGTGATGCCAACATAAGAGCCTCCTAAGGACAGCCAGAGGGACAGGGGAGGTGGCGCACCCTGATCGAACGCCTTATTGTGGTCACACAACCTGTGATGCTTGCTGTGTGACCCTCCTGTAGAAAAATGCCATTCTGTGTCTATGTGGGTAAATGTGTCTCTGTGGTGTGTTGTGAGAAGACCTGTTCGTGGTAGAGCAGAACCATTACAATAAATACAAATGAGTTGAAATGTCATCTGGCAACTTGGCTTTGCCTACTCATGGGTGATTTTGATGGTTAAGATCTCAGCATTGGAAATAGGAACTTACCAAAAATAGGATGAAAAGCTGGGCGGTAGTCATGCACGCGTTTAGTCCCAGCACTCGAGAGGCAGAGGCAGATGGATCTCTGTGAGTTCAAGGCCAGTATGGTCTACAGAGTGAATTCTAGGACAGCCAGGGCCATGTAGAAAGACCCTGTCTCAAAAACAAAAGAAAACAAAAATAGGATGGAATAAGTTAAAACTTCCTCTTTGGGTGTATATAGAGATAATTGGATTAAAGTAATCATTTCCACATACATTCCTAAACACAAGTGTATGTCCATGGTATCAAGAAGCAAAGTCTTTATTGTGTTCTTTTATTTTTATTGACATGTGTTAGTTATGCTAAATCATGTGGTTAGCTGTGATATCTCAGTATTTGAATACGCATGTCGGGCATGCACCTACGAGAGGACCAATCTGGCTTCCCTTTTATTTCTGCCTCTTCAGTTCCCCGTTTCTCACAACCACCCATCCTAACCTTCACACATGAATAGAAAGTGTCACACTTGTTTCTGTCCCTGGCTTGTTTCACTCCATATAATTTTCTCTAGTTCTATCCATTCTGCTACAGACAACAGGATTTCATTCATCTTTACAGCTGAATAATATATTCCACTGTTTATATGTACTTTGTTTTCTTTGTGTATGTTGGTGATGACCTAAGGTAGTGACAGCCTCAGCTATTCTGAATAGCTTCCTAGTAGACATGGACAGACAAGTATGTTTGGGGTTTATAGATTTCATTTCCTTTTGACATAGACCTAGAAGTGGGATGGCTAACTCCCATGGTAGTCCTATTCTCACTCCTTAGATGAGCCTCCATACTGTCATTCTGATTTTGGGTTCCCACCGACAGTGTATAGGAGTTCCTTCTCTCCGTGTTCATGGCAGCACTTGTTACCTGTGGGTTATGTTTGCTTTGTTGGCTTTAATAGCATTTTAACTGCATACATGATATCTCATTGTAATTTCAACTTCCCTGATGACTGATGATATTGATTGGGCCTCATGTATTTGTGACTGTCAAAGCAGTTGCTCATTTTGTAATCAGATTCTTCTTTTTTTAAATTCCTTACATATTATAAATTAACTACATATTATGGACATAAATCCTACCTTGGGAGGACAGTTAGCAAACAATTCTCTCATTCTGTAGATCGTCTTGTCCTCTGTTGTTTTTGTGTGCTGTACAAAACTTCAGTGTAATTGTTCATCTGTCTTTGGTTTTGTTTCCTTTCCTTTTATAATCATATATATTAAAAAAAATTGCTTAGTCCAGCATCTATGATAGCCGTTGCCCTTACTGATGTGTCTCCCTGCATGTTTCCAGTTGAGATCTTGCATTTGGTCTTTGATCCATCAAGAGCTGAGTATTTTGTTCAGAATGAAAGTTCAGTATTCATCTCTTGCATGTGGTGTCTGCTTTCCCTGTTGAAGAGGCCAGCCACACAGCCTGCACGGTTTGGGAACTTTTGTGACGAATAAGCTGGTTCTAGGTGTGCTAGCTGACATCTAGGCTCTCTGTTCTGTCCCACTGGTCCATGTGTCTCTTATTACTCTATGATCCTATTGCGTCTGCCATCATGGCTCTATAGTATATCTTGAAATGAGGCCCCCTGATGCCTCTAGCCGCATTCTTTTTGCTGAAGATAGTTTTATCTGTCCCGAGTCTTTGGTGAAGAAGCAGGATTTTGAAATATTGTCTGTATTGCTTTATGATAAATAATTACATACATTATTTTATTTCTGAGTTCCTCTCCAACACAGGAATCTTTATCTCAGAGCCTAGGACTAGTTCATTTCAGACATCACTAGAAAAGGATGTAAGTCTCAAACAAAAAGAAAAAAGATACTGAACTCAGCTCTTTATGTAACTCTTGTGAGCATTTTATAATTCTTTGTGTATGCTATTATTTTCCTAAATTTTTTTTCTGTAATTGCTTGAATCTGTGGTTCAGTGTGTTAATGGGCAGAGCAGAAAGCTCTATTGTCCTACAGTAAACAGTTCTCACCACTATTCAAATTGACTGGCTTCCTCTGCTTTTGTTGTCTTTTCTATTTCCCAACCCATTGGCCTGTGTCTCTATCTTTCTGCTTTAGATAAATAACAAAAATATTTTCCTTGTCCAAAAAAAGTTGAGCCTTGTATGGTTCACTGGGCCTGGAAGCAGTGTGATCCTTCATGTTTCAGTGAGATTTTGATAGTAAATCAGGCTAGTAGTTTGCTGCTGGTGAAATGGTCCTCAGGTAATAGGGCCTCCATCCACACCTTATGTTAGAGGAATACAGATGCAGGTGGTGAATGCAGAACCCAGGATAGCGACCCTCAGAGGGCTGGAGGCAGGCCGACACTGTCAGAATGACACACGGTTGTCTAACTGAGCCTGAAGAAACAGACCTTATTTTCTGGCAGAGGACGACCATAAGGCGGGTTGCACCTGCCAAACAACCACTGCCCATGGGAACAATGACGTGTGCAGGGTGTCTTATGCACACCCACAAGCTCCAAGGCCTTTTCCGAAGGATGCTTTTGCTCATGCCACAGCCGCCATGCAGCCAGCACATCCCTAAGACAATGCTGTCCCTGGTAACCACAGTAGCATGTAAGGATAACTCTTTCCGCCAGGCCACCTGAGCCTACGTGGGTGCCCAAAATAACACACAGAGTCTTATATTAGTTACAATGCTGCTGGCCAATGATAAAGACTTATCTTATGGAGGATGCCAGTGGCATGTGTCCTCTTCCTGGGATCACATGGCAGCTCCACAGAGAAGAGAGGAGGAGGAAGAGAGCAATTTCCTGCTTGTCCATGCTTATATTCTGAGTCTGCCTGCTATGTCACTTCCTGCCTGGATCACAAGACTTCTCTTTACTACATTTCCCAGAATCCTCCTCAACTCCTAGTCCCACCTAACTTGCTTCCCTATTGGCCAATAATACTTTATTTATCAACCAATAAGACAAACAGAAGGACCTCCCCCATCAGTAGCATACAAGGTGAGTATCTGAAAACTGTTTCATGAGTGAAGAAACAAGTCTGAAGTCAGATGCACTGGAACCCCCCAGATTTACCAAGTAGCTCTGAAATGACCTTGACCTCAGCCCTTTTGGAAGGACTAGTTTCTACCCAGTTCAACAAATATTTTTAAGTTATTCTGATATTTCCAGGAAAAGAGAATACAAAGGCCAAGTAAAACCTGTGTGATCTCAAAATATACACTGTCCAGGAGAACTTGTATCAGTTAGCTTTTACTGTGTAACAAACAACCCCAGAACTTAGAGGCTCAACATAATTTTTCTTAGCTCAGACTGCTGTAGGTCCGCAACTTGAACTGAACATTTCTGATTTGTCCCAGGAATGGTGGTTCCATATAGTTATTGGTAGGTTGCGTGGAGAGTCAGAGTGGCTAGGTGATACGGCTCCCTAGGTTGGCTCACCAGCTGTGTCCACATACCAGGAGAGTCCCAAGAACAGTAAGTCTATCAACCCCCAATCGGCCAGAGCTTTTCAAGCCTGCTTTCATCACGCTGGCTTTAGTCCCAAAGGTCAATGCCAACCTCAAGGCCAGCTTCAAATCAAGGCATGGTTTCCTTTGCTGTAGAAATAACTATAGTCCCACTGCAGGGCACAGGCACTGAGTGGGAGGGTGGTGCCATCTGTGGCACTCACCATAGCAACCCTGAAACACTTAATAAATATCATGAAACCCACACTCTGTGCTTCCAGAAACAGACCAGAATAATTTGCTATTAGGATACAGATTTTTAGAATGCCCAGAGCCTATTGGTGAAATCTTTGGCATCCTCCTCAAATGAAAAATAAACTTCATGCATTTTGGAAAAAAAGAAAAGCAGGAGATTGTTACATTGTTTGTTCCCTTTTAACTCACCGGGGAAATGAAAGGGCCCCAAGGGAAAGTTGGGAGAATAACTTACATGGCCCATGGACAGAGTTCATGGATAGGGTGCTGTGCTTGCCAACTTTCTGAATGAAATTTATCAGCCACTGATGATCCTGGATTAAGAGATTTGTCTTCACGCCTCCTAGAGAAAGTCTGATGGGCTTTGAAATCCCTCTCTGCCAGCTTGCAGGGTATGAGGATGAAGGCACCCTGTGCGCATCCAGTTTTAATAAAAAGCAAACACTTAACAGAGGTAAACATTTACCCAATGAAATTATAGAAAAATAATTTTGGCAAAAAGGGAAATGGCCAGAGAACACAATTTAAAATCCATGTCACCGGTGGCTGAGAATTGATTGCGGCCCCAGCCTCCGAGAGACTGTTTCATTAATCCATAGTCATTGTAGCGGCAGGCTTTTTTCACATCAGTAACTTGACGCCATTAGTCGCTCCTCTGGGATGAGAACACATTCAAACTGAAAATGAACACGCCGGGCATAATTTATAGCCGTGCCACATGAATGCCAAGAGTGTGAGGAGGAAGCTGCTTGGGAGTCCACTCGTGGCGGCTACTCAGCCCTCACTTCCTTTAGGCAGCCGCCAGATATCTGCAAACCACAGGCCTCCAGTTAGACTAGTTGCAGGGAGGGAGGAAATTCCATACAGGAACCAGATGTCTTGAAAATTCCTCCCTGGTCCAGTCAGGAGTGGATGTTAGGCTCCCACAGGGGAGCCCACTGGGATTCTGCAGGGAGAGGGATCTGGACATTGTCTGTGGAACCCGTGCAATCCTCATGATGGACTGTCACTGAAGGGAGCTTCTGGAGGATGCTGACCCCTCCTTTCCTCTGAGGTCTAGAAGAAATCAAGCCAACGCAAGAACAAGCAACACCCCCAAATCAGGGCACTTCCTCAACACTTTGGGCTTTGAAAACATGAAGAGGATGATGGAGACAGTATGTTCACTACTAACCCAAAGCAGCGGGAGCCACGGCTCTTCCTCCGTGGTCACCTCAGGACTCCATCACTCTTCCGTCCCCTCTACTAAGGGAATACATCCTATCCATCCCCTGAAGTAGCTTTTAAATCTCTTATCCAGTCCCAGAAACTTCACAGGCTCCATGTCATCGGTCAGCTGCAGGAAAGATGCCTCCGTCCTCTCCCCTGCTGTCCTCCCCTTCCTCCTCCCTCGGAGCTGCAGAGGAGCCTCCCTCCCAGATGCTTGCTTCATCATGCATGCCCTCTTGAAGCTCCTGCTCGGAGTCTTAGAGTGGCTCGCCATTGCTACCCGGGGTCTGGTCTTCCCGGACGTGAGCTACAATTTCCTGTCCTTGTAGTGTTCTGCATGAACCTGAACTTCCACTCCAGCTGGACTGGCTTCCCAACCCCAGACCTCAGTCTTTGGCATGTGTGTGCGTGTGCGTTGTGCAGAGAGAGATGCACACAAGGATGCACATTCTTGTGTGTGTGTGTGTGTGTGTGTGTGTGTGTGTGTGTGTGTGTGTGCATGTGTATGTGTATGTGTGTATGTGTGTGTGTATGTGTGTGTATATGTGTATATATACATGTGTATGTGTGTATATGTATGTGTCTATGTGTGCATGTGTATGTGTGTGTATGTACATGTGTATGTGTGTGTATGTGTGTGTGTGTGTGTGTGTGTGTGTGTGTGTGTGTGTGTGTGTGCACGTGCACATAAGAATATCACTGTAGGTTCTGAAACTAGAAAGGAGACCGTGAGGGGAGATGGAGGTCTGAGGGAATGTAAGGAGAGGGTAATGGAATATACATGTGTGACATGAAAGTGTAAAGGGGACAGAAGTAGCAGAGGAGGGTCCACCCGTAAGTTTATGAACCCAAGGACATATAAAAATGGCACAGCGAAGCCTGCGACTTTGCATGCTAATTGTAAACCATTTGTAAGTAGTGAATGAGGGGTCTGGAGAGTGGTTAAGACACTGGCTGCTCTTTCAGAGGACTGGGGTTCAGTTCCCAACTGTGGCAGCTCACAACCATCTGTAACTCCAATTCCAGAAGGTATGTTGTCCTCTTCTGACCTTCAGGGGTACCAGGCACACATGTGGTGTACAGACATACATGAGAGCAAATTTTACACATATAAAATAATAAAATAAATTATTTTTCCCTTTAAAGTAAATGTAGACTAAAAACCTTTAAGCCAACCTTCACTCCTATGAATACCCCCCAAGGAGGCAATTGTGTGGCCTTAGTTCTCTGATCTTCTTTGTTTCTATATTTTTGTCTAACTTTATGGAAGATAGTCTCCACTTTATTGTCACATTTTCTAGGACTCTTTCAGTTCCACTGATATTGCTGTGAATTTACAAGAATTGTTGTTTATCTTTCATTTACTGAAGGAAAAGCACTAATGTTTAGTATTTTTAAAACGTATTGTCCTGTTCTCTGACCTCAGCATATGACTTCTCTGGGAATATGAAGATGTGAGAGAAATCTCTTTTTTCCTTGCTATGTATTTTTCTATCAAATGTCTTATTTTTCTTGTACTGGGCTGCAGCGTCCACATCTGTCTCTCCCGGGTCTCTCTGTTTATAATGTAAGGTTAGATTCCACACACCTGCTCTGTACTTCATGGCTTCCTGTTGCAGAGCACGGGGTCTTGCAGCAAAGCTTTCCCCCGAAACAGTGAAAAGGGATCAGGTAAGCTTTTTAAACATTGGAGAAATTTAAAGGCAGCGCATGTGTGTGCAACAGAGGCCAGAAGAAGGCATCAGAGCTGGAGTCGTAGGTGGCTGGGAGCTGCCTGGTGTGGCTGCTTGTGGTGAAACATTACTTATGATTTATTAAAGCTTGCCTGAGGATTCAAAAAGCAAAGTCAGCCACCAGTTCTAGAGATCAGAAGGTGGTGGCACACACCTTTAATCCCAGGACTCATGGGAGATAAAGGCAGATGGATCTCTGTGAGTTCGAGGCCACCCAGGGTTACACTGGAGTGAATCAGTCTAAAAGAGAACTAGAACTTTAATCCCAGGACTCATGAGAGCTATTGAAGACAGGAACTGGGTCTCAGAGCTGGCATTCATTCTCCAGTCACACTGATAGATTCCCCATCCATGTGGAGGAGAGCATAGCAGT